AACGCAAGTATCGTAATTGTTCTCTTTCTATCTTTACATACATGTCGACCACGAATTATTGACAAAGCTCACATATCGTAGAATAACGTTGTCCTGATCGATTCTAAGATCGACCGATATGCATAATAATCCTTCGAACTAACATTCTTGTTTGTTTGAATACCTGTTGCGGTGTCTTGTTGTTTAATATTTATGCAATCAGTGGCGTATTTTGGGTGATTTTTCGGGGGTGTCCAACATTTAATGAACTTTACTAACAAAAAGTTTAGAATTATTTACTGATGTGAAGAAATGTCGAACTAACTTTTTTTAAATAACTATGGATTAAAAAGTAATTTGTAATTTAATACTTAAATACTTAGTATAAAAGACATTTTGGAGGTTATTACTTTATACTTATCACTAAGATTTATTATAAAAATTACCTTTTATAATATTTTACAGATACAAAGATATTAAAATCTATTGTAATATTACAATAAATTACAATATTATTATTATTTATATTTACTATAAAAGATCTAAGTGCCTCTTCTTTAAACTAAGCTCGTCAATCACTTTATTGACATCAATTCCAACTCGTTTGTCGATAGCTAAGCTCTAGCATAGCTTAACCATTTAACCACCCCTGTATAAAAAAACTTACAAATTCATAGTTAAAAAGAATAAATTAATTAATGCTGATTTACTTGTGAAATTATATTTCGCAAGTATGTTTTTATTCTTTTAAAATTTGAAAACGACCTCTCGCTAGATGCAATTGATTCTTAAATAGCAATTTTTCAGAGTTATTTATAAGTAACTCGGAGAAAAAAAAATTGAAATAGGTTGAGTTTTAAATGAATAAAATAAATTTGTGATTATAATACATCAAATAACATATTATCATCATATTGTGAATAGGAAGGGACAGAATTCTCAGTTTGAGCTAATGTGGTTTGATATTAATCATTACTTAAATATATTTATTAATTTATTTTATTTTCACAATATTAGCCTAGTTATATTTTTTTGTTTATTTTGTTGTGCAGTTTATTTTATGATTAAATAAAAGCATTATAAAATAAACGTTAAATTCAATATAGGGCCTTTATTTTTTTTTTTAAAGTCGGGGGATGTCCAGACATGGAGAACCCCCCTCCCCTCCAAAAATACGGCACTGTATGCAATACCCGTCATTTAATACCAAAAATAAAATTAAAAGTTTTTAAATAGTTTTTAATAGTTTTATTTAATAGTTTCATTTAATAATTCATTTTCATTTGCACAGTTATCGACCGGGTCAAAAATTATTAAAATAAACTACGATTTATTAAACAATAGCACTTTTACAACATTTTTTTCGTAAAAACCTTCCCCTGGCAATTAAGAACTATTAAAAGAATTTGAGCCAAATAGGTCTGCCATTCTCAATTGATGAAATATTATACATTTTTGGCTCCATTTTCATATATATAGATTTATTATATAATTAACTCTTAATAATAAGCATTGAACCATAAATGAGAACCTTTTTTTTCTTTATTATTTTTTTTTTTTTTAAGTCGAAATATACAATCTGTATCGTTTGACACAACAAATATATATCATATATGAAACAATATCATGGATAAAAATATTGAGTTAAGAAGTCACCCAATGATGACACTTAATATTGATTTTTAGGTTTTAATTAAAGTTAATTTATTTAGACATATATATATATATATATATATATATATGTGTGTGTGTATTTTTTATTTTTTTAATTATTATTGTAATAGATCTCTGCACTATTTGCGTTTTAAACGTCTTGGAGGTTACTTGGAATTGTTTGGGAGGAAAGGTTTTTAATCAAGGGATTTTAATGATAGGAAAGACGGTCGTGAAAACGTTTATAAAAATATTTGCTTTCTTCATGAATTGTTTTTATTTTAAGGTCTGTGTGGGGGGTATGATTTGATACATATATAGGAGCATTTACTAATTTTCTTAGGGCAATGTTTTGCAAAAATTGTATTTTATTGAGATTAGACTTTTTGGCACTTCCCCATAGCTGAAAGCCGTATGTCCAAATTGGTTTTATTAATGTTTTATAAATGAGAAGTTTGATATTAGGGAAGGTGTGTTTGTTAAGAATTAGCGGTTTGAGGATACGAAGACGATTGTTTAGAGATAATCTTTAGTCACGAATATGTTGAGCCCATGTTAGTCTTTTGTCTAATGTAAGAATGTAAGACCAAGGTATTTAACTGTTGGAGATCATGGAATTGGAATACCGTTAAGTGTTACCCCTGGGGAGGAGCGATTCTGAGTGTAAATGTTGTATGAATAGATTTGCTATGATTTATTTTAAATCTTCATTTAATATACCAGTTTCCATAGAGTCTAGGTGAGTTTGGAGGTTTTTAGAAGCTATGAATGGGTCATTATTCATAGAGATTATTACCTTATGATCGACATAATCTGCGACGGTTGTGTCTAATGTAATTGGTTGAACTGACACAAATATGTTGTTAAGAATGGTAGACAATATGCTATCCTGGGGAACTCCAACCCTTGTATTGCCAATACTTGATATAGGAGAGCCGTATCGTATTTGATTATGTGTTTAATATAATTATTAGTGGGCTATAAGTTAATTAAGCCTGCAGCTACTATAGAATATGTAAAAAAAAATATTACTATAGGGAGTAAATAATTTATTTTGAAATAAATAAAAACACGTTTCGAAAAACCAAAGAAATTTTATAATACAATATTTAATAATAAAAATACAGTTGATACTGTCATTCATTGCAGTTCGCTTCTTCATCAGTCGAATGACAAGCAAACTGACTATTATTGACAATAATCTATACTGACCGCGTGAGTACACCGTCAGTAATGTAATTACTGTCAATATAACTGATCGAGTGAGGCCCGCTTTACGCCAACAGGCAATTGATGTAATGTAATTAAAAACACCTTACTGCAATTCATCTTGAACAATTGCTATCACACTAATGTTCATTAATAAAACTCAATTGGTACAACACCGTGAAAAACTGCGTTGTTCACAATCTAGTTGCTATTTAAGAGGGTGAGAGTAAATATCACCCGATCACCTGGAATGTACTAACTGTGGGCTGTACGCTCTTCTAATAAAAGTTTAATTTTATACATTTTTTTTTATACGTTATTAAAACAATTTATTTTTCCTAGTAAGATTTAACAGCGCTTCTACAGCGTTGATCGTGATCGATCGGTTCTTGTATAAAACTATCTTATCTGAGTCTTAATAGTTAAGACTAATTAATTGTTTGTAATTTATTTAAGAAATTATTATTGTGTTCGGTGTTATATACTATTTCTGCCGTTCGTGGTCCTATGACCATTTACTTATCGCTTATTTTCTTATTAATATTTTAAATAATACCTGTACCTATATAGATCTTTAGAAATAATTATGTTATGCATTGAAAATATTTTTGATGGTAATCAGATTAAATGTGTAGTTTGCAATGAATTCTTACATTTTTTGTGTACATGTTTCAGACGATAGACTTATAGAATATTATCGGTTACAAAAAAAAAAAACAAATATTCATATCCCAAGAATAAAACAAATGTAGCAAGTTCTAAATAAAAATAAGAATCTATTATCATTGGTTTATATGAAACAATATAAAATTGAGCTAGCTGTGTTTAGTCTCCAGTTTGACGATGTTAGTTAACATTTACGATAGGTATAGACTGTTTACAAATATTGGAGGAAAATTTGTCGAAATTAAAACCACAAGTAACAATATCTAAGGTTTTCAAAGTTCAATCTAAATTCCAAAATAAGTCTAAAAAAAATCGCAGTTGAATTAGCTTTTACGATCTTAAAGAAGAAATTAATGGAAGCCGCAAAAAAGGGGAAATTTAAGCAAGTGAGGAAAAAAAACTTGGTAGAGAAATGGTATTTTCATTAATAACTATCTTAGAAATAATGATATATAATTTTTATTATTTTTTATATAAATTATTATATTTATATAATATAATATTATATTTATATAATTATTTTTATATAACTAGAATGTACGTAAAATATAATGGGTATAAGTTTGTCTGGTATAGCGTTTATAAAATACTCTTAAAACAAAAATGAAAACTCAAAGTTTATGTCATCTACGATAAATCTGATTTGGAAAATATGTTATAAATTGTGTTTTGTTTTGTTTTTTGATTTATTTTTCTTTAATAAAAATTTATATATGTCTATCACTAAGTTGAACAATGTATATTTTCAATTTAACTTAACAAAATTCTCTGTGATTTCTTAGATTATAAAACGAACTATGTATATAAATGTATCTTCGAATTTATTAAATCATTGAAAAATATTGACATTTAAAATGTTTAACTACAATATAAGAACTATAAAATGTCATTTTATTAGATAACTATTGATTTTCCAAAGTGATGTAAATTGTGTGAATTTACATATTATAATATTAACAAAAACTTGGCATGATGTTAATTAATGTAATTATGTGATCTCGGGATATAATTTATTTTATTCGAAAGTAATAAGAAAACAAAACGACGACATATTTTTTTTGTAAAAAAAACTACTAGATAGAAATAAGTGATTATAAATCTATTATTTCTGAAATTTCAGGTCGGGGCTGAGGCCCTATCAGCTTCCCCTCGCGTAAATACGGCCCCGAGTCAGTCAGACTGTGGAATGATTCTTTGATCCTTCAAATTGCGAATATAATAAAATACTTTTTCATATATCTATATATAGTAAAAAGTACAGTAGCCAGTCAGAACAAATAATTACATATTTCTTTTTTCTTTTCATGTTTCCGATATCGAATAAAATAATCAAAGGTGAAAATCGATAAAATGTAATTGTGGAGTAAATTACATTGTTATATTTTCAAAAATGGAATAATATAGCAAATATTTGAGCATAAAGAAAAAACATACCTAATTAATAATAAAACATCAACTTAAAGCTGTAAGAAAAAACCACACAAAAAATAAAATAAAATGTTGATAATTTAAACATTATAATTAATAATCCAACTTATAATAACACCAAATTTAAATCGAATATATAATAGCTAACTAGCTGTACACATTACAGTCAGTACACAGCTTTAAATTGTATTATTGTATTAGCAATTACTTGCGTGTGAAAACGTGTTCCATGATTTTTGTTCATGATTTTATCAGCGATTCTTTCATCGTAATCAGTCTACTGTGGCTCTGTAATTAGTAAGAAATATAACGTTTTTCATTAATGAGTCGACGATGAAAATCGTTTAACGACGTGAGTGAATGGCAATATACATGATACCTCTGAAGCTATATTATGCAACATTTGGGCATTAGCCAGTCCGGTTTGTTCCACCATTTTGTACAAGAATCCATTTTGGTTTTTCAATAAATTATGTGGATGGTCGAATTCAACCATTTCACCAGCATCCATTACGAGCACTTTATCGGAATCCATCACGGTGTTTAAACGGTGAGCAACAGTCAATACCGTACACATCCGAAATTTATTTCTAATAGTATTTTGAATCAATGCGTCGGTTCTAGTAAAATAACAACAACAAAAAAAATAATAATAAAATGCGACTGTTAATTTTAACATTTGTTATATGTTTATTATGTTTAGACAGTGATGAAATGCGTTTTATGCAAATATTACTGTGGGTCCACATTGGCAGTGGCTTCGTCCAACACGAGAATTTTGTTGTTTTGTACAATAGCTCTAGCTAGACACACCAGTTGTCTTTGACCAACGCTTAAGTTAGACCCTCCTTCGGAAACTTTCGAGTTCAGACCACTAGGTAAGCTTTCTACCACGTTACGAAGTTCCACCTTGTATAATAAGAAGTTTTTTTTTTAAAATTACAGTAAAATGCCTAACCGTAGTGGTTGATTTTTTAGCATTGGTTAAATAGTTTTCTTTATTGGAGACAAGAAATGAATTTAAATCGTTACTTCGTCTATAGCATGCCAGAGTATGTGATCTGGATATATTTTCAGTGGATCTAAATTCGATCGCATTGATCCTGAAAACAGAACTGGTTCTTGAGGAATGATCGAAATCTTAGACCGTAACTCGTGTAGTCCTAATTTGTGTATTTCTAAGTCGTCGATTACGATTTCACCCTCACTAATTGCTAATCTGAACAATGCTGCAATCAAAGAAGATTTTCCTGCACCAGTTCTACCAACGATTCCCACCTTTTGGGTATACAGAAAAAATAAATATTACTAAGACAACAGATTTAAAACAGAACATTTATGATCTTACTTTTTCCATCGACTCGATTTTGATGTTCAAATTTTTCACAACAAACCGTGTATCGATTCCGTATCGAAGATAAAAATTTTTAAATATTATCTGTCCGTTTGAAGGCCATTCCTTCGGTGGTTTTTTATCTATTGAAATTATTTTTTTTTTTTTTTATAAATTCGTGTGGTCCGTGATTACAAAAAAAAAAAAAAAACACAAAAAGAAGATCATTACCTGCAGATGACTCAAGAGGATCTTCTTGGGGAACGTTTGTATATTCAATTACTCTTTCAACCGATGTCATTTGGTTTTCTAGTTCCGCTGATTGTCTCATTCCAAATTGAAACATTCCGGTCATACTAATTGCTTGAGTAATCGCAAGACCAACGTTTCCGCCGAATGTGTCTGAAATGATATCGATTAAACATCGAAAACTAAAACAGTTATAGTTTATGAATGTATAATAAGATTTAAACTTACTATTCCTAATAAATAAGAAACTGAACGTAACAATACTTATAAATAAATAACAAATCATATCCAACCACAAACCAAACGCTCTGCTAGAAGAAATAAATATGTACCAAGCCGAAGAATGGAGGTTCTAAAATAAATCAATATAAAATATTACCATTCAAAAGACACGCAATTTGCGTTAACTGACTTGATGGTTGTCGAATTCCTTAGACAAAATCTTTTCTGCTTCGTACGCTCTAATCGTGATCAAGCCCTGTAGACATGCATTCAAATGCTCAAATACAGGACTTCGTGCTATTGATGAAGAATAAAATCAAATACATTATTGTTTCACCAACTACATAAAATTGTCCAATCAATATAATTATACACTCACTAATTCCTTCCAATCGTTTAACGCTACGTGAAGTAGAGAGATAAATAGTACTAAGTTTGTAAAATATTATTGCCACAATGAAAATTGGTATTATTAGATAAATATTAACCAAAACAATTGTAAACACAATCGATATTAACAGTAACCCAATCTAATCAACAAACATTTCAATAGATTAAAACACAACTATAGCGAATTATTAAAGGGGAAATATTATACAGTTTATGTTACGTACTTGTATGCAATCGATCACTATCGTCGGTAACAGCTCGTCAATAGATCCCATGTCTTTTGAAAATCGATTAATTATACGTCCTTAATAAAATAAGAAAATATTTCAAACGTATGTTGTTGATAATATCATTGTTTTATTACTTCTTAAATTTTACCATTGATTTAATAATACATACATCTTACACGGGAAAATGTAATAAATTGTAAGACCAATGTTATTTACCCGATGAATTGGTGTTGAAAAAATACATCGTTGCTCTAGTTATTGCGTTGAACATTTTATTGTGCAGATTTATCGAAGATTTCGTACAGACCGATACAAATACAACGAACCTGATGAGAGTCGCCACTATGATCATGAAAGTTAAAATTCCAAAAACGGTAAAACAGGTCTGTCTAGAAACCGACCACCACAAAAAGTTCGTAGAAAACTGGTCAGTTGTCGATGAAGATGCAGGGTGAAAAACGTGTTCTTCTAAATTTACCCTGAAGAACATATTTCACTGTGAATTATTGAACCATTCGTAATCACCAAATTTGATACGTTTGATTACCAATAGGTCATCCACAAATCTCCACCAGTGCCCAGCATTTGAGCAAAAATGCAAATGAAAAAGAAAAATAGTACTTTAAATCGGTTTCCGTCAGCAAAGAAATAAGACAAATAAACATCGAACGAAACGCTCCCAGACGTTCGAGTCTCGACTACTTCGGGCGGTTCAGCTTGGATTTCTTCGAACTCGGACTTTTTGACCGACGACTCAACGCTTTCAATGGACAATTGTCGATGGAAAACTTTTTGTGTATTCAAACTATTGGTACTCATCGGTTTAATAGTGGCGGGTTCAAGCTTTGACGCAACAGGTTTTTCCGTCGGAGATTTAAGCAATTTAGCAAAGTCTAAATTAGAGCTTTGGAGATCGTGATACGAACCATAGGCTAAAACGTTGGCCTGAAAAAATACAATAAAGATCAATTCAGTAAAATGCAAATACAACAATATACAATAAAATACAATAAAATTAGTAAAGATAAAGCTCGTGAAAAACAAATTAAATAATACTGTGAACATTCACATTTTCCATCAGAACGATTTGATCTACACTGTCTAAGTATTGTATTTGATGCGTCACGAGAACGCAAGTTTTCTCCTTGAGGTACCCTGGAAAAAAAATATTGAAAAGTGTCCAAACGATTTGATCAACGCAGTATCGATTATAACTATACACTTGGTACCTTTGATACATTTGTCGAATAAATGTTTGCCGACGTGTGGATCAACAGCTGACAGAGGATCGTCCAATAAATAAACATCGGCTTCTTTGTACACAGCTCTGATGCAAACAATATTTCAAAACGTCAAAAAATCGCCACGACAATGGGATAACGTACGATTGGGATACTTACCGCGCTAAATTTATCCTTGCTCGTTGTCCGCCGCTGATAGACACTCCCCTTTCTCCCACGACTGTTAGGTCACCGTACGGAAACTGCTCCAAATCTGTCCTCAACGCGCAGACGTCGATGACCTACAGTTTCACATTAGAAAACATAGACACACTTAGTAATTATCATTTTTCATTACATAACATCGATATTTACTTTTCTGTAACGTTGCCTGTCCATCGGTGAACCGAATAAAATGTTCTGTTGCACAGAACTAGCGAACAACCACGGTTCCTGCGACGCGTAAGAAACCGCGCCGCGCACGGAAATCCTGCCTTCGGAAAGCGGCAGCTCCCGCAAGATCGCTTGTATCAACGAGCTCTGTTGTAAAAACAATACCGCGTTGTTACCGAAGTATTATCTAAACAATCTCGGGACTATTATCGTTGCCTACTTTACCAGCTCCAACTGGACCGATTATCGCAACCAGCCGACCCGGTCTCACGATCAGACTAACGTTTCTTAGAGAGTATTTGCTTTGACAGCTGGACCACTTGGCCGAAACATTTGACATGACAATACCGAAATTCTTCAAGTGCGGCCTTTCTGGTTCGCCATATGTATTGTCCGACGAAGAATTATTTCCGTTATTGATTGTGTTTTGATCATTATTATTATTCGTCGCCTTATCGAGATCTGATGTGTTCATTCGTTGATCATCTTTTTCTTCATACAGTAAAAAATTCTAATAAAAAAAAAAAAAAAAAAACGAAACGATACACCCTTTCAATCAATTATTTAATTAATTTCCTAGGAATATCATGATTTGATCATTACTTGGAGGCGTTCAATAGATATTTTCGTTTCAGCTACTTGTGTAATACCTTGCGGCACGAATCCTGTCATTGATGACCTCAAAAAACTATAAAATGTTGCTATGACAAATACCTAAATGCATTTCACAAATCGTATCTAGAGCATTTCGATTTCGGTACCAATTGATTGTGGTAGTTCATAATTACCTTTTCAGCGGAAATATAGTTGCCGAGTAATACATACACAAATATGCTAAAAAACATGGCGATTCTCGCGTGGAAAACGAAAAACGATAATAATATGGCTCTGTAGTATGACGTTTTTTTTATCTCACTAATCTCCATTCTACGTTAACATTATCAACTCGATTATTAATGCCGTTAACAATTAAAAAGATCTCGTTACGTTCTTACCTTCTTGCATAATCTACGATCCTCGAGAAAGGTTTTTCCCATGTATACATCTTGATTACTTGAATTCCAGATATTATCTCATTCATCAAACGCACTCTCTCATCAGTTCTGATTGCTGTTTTTAATCGATATTCTGAAATTTTGTTCCCTAATACACCTGCAATCATTATCGAATGTTTTAACAAAATACAAATCGTGTTTATTAAGTCATTATGTGTGTTAGAACTTTGTAATTCAAATAGAAAATTTCAATGCAGACCTTGAATTGGAATGATTGAAAGCAATATTGCTACTCCGACGATTGACGACACTCCTATTTCTTGCCATAAAAA